CTTTTGATTTAGTGGGAACTCCTTGTATATGAGGTGATTCCTATTATATTTTCAAATCATATTTGCTGCAAATATTACTAAGAATGGTTCTGCATTAGTGAATTAATGTTATGATTTTCAGTATTTGTTCATTTGTAACTTAGTCTGTAATTAAGATATAGCCTACTATATCTTAATTATACTGAATAAAATGATAAAAGTATAAATCATAGTATAATTATAATGTTGCATAATTAGGCAATTATAAGCTTGTGACTGTCAGGAGCCCGTGAACATTGATATTCAGCTCCAGTTTCCATGCTCCTCCAGCAGAGGATCTCTCAGTGTCTTGGCACCTGAGTTCACTATGACTCACTGCTTTAAATACAGGTGACAGCCTGCAGCTCCCCTTTGATCACATTAAACCTGAACATGTTGCCATTCTCCAGCTTCTAATTCAGCCACCAATCAGAGCTGATGAGTCGCCTGCAGTTACACTTTCTGCTAGTACCATATTCTTGCTTGCAATAGAATGTCTTCTTCTTTCCCCCCCTTTACCTCATTTATAGCTGTGGCAGATGAAGCTGAAGTCGTTGAAAGATAACGCACAAAAAGTAAACGAGCTACTTATACCTCAAGGTGAACCTCATAAAGATACATAATCCTTTAAATCCGTTACATTAGTACTAACAATGAATCCTAAGGGTACTTCAATCAGCCTTGCTGTACTGCTGTCTTCATAATCACCCTCTTGAACTGGTAGTGGTACGGCCTCCTCAGAGTGAACACGCCCTAAGTCCAAATTAATTGGGTGCTTGGGCAACCAAGCCTTCACTGAACGCTGCTGATTGGAGCGTCACACAGTCGCACGGCCTGGATGCTGCGAGCTGCGTCAAGTTAATCACAGAAACACCGGAAGTGTGCTGATTTTCCTACAAAATAAAATATAGTAGCTATACCATCATAGTTAGTTATAGCGTTTCGATATCGGTGCTGATATAAATTACACTGATCGTATAATTTAGGTAATTTTCATTGAGTTATTTTATGCAAAGACAATATTAGTGCAGTTATTGGTTATTTATAACTCAAGAGTTTTTTGTGAATCAGTGACAAAAATAAATAAATAAAATAAACAAATATTGTTATTGAAAAATAATAAAGAAAGAATTACCTCAAATTATTGTCTTCCATCATATGTATCTAAAAATTACTAGATACAATGTTTTTATTTATTTATTTGATAACATTTGATATAAAGCTATAAAACATGAGCTGCTCTAAAATATATTCTAACACATTTTTAACATCAATAAGTTGTAGAAAACTCCCTTTCTTTCTTTCTTTTTTTCTTTCTTTCTTGAGCTTGATGTTAGGTAGCAGCTGATCAATTATATACAAATCATGATGAAAATCTACTCTATATTCGCATTACTTTACTAGAAGTTGCATTGGGCTCAACAACTGTTTTATTTTGAAAGTCACAATAAGAAGTCTTGCTTGCATGTCATTGCTGACTTCACGGTGATGATGCTGCCCCTGATGGTCCCGGACCGGCCAGGAAGGTATCCATCTGGTGTGTGTGTATATCTCCTTGGGAAGTGCCATCCACGGATTGTGTTGAATTGTGTTGAGAAAGTATCCAGTGATCCGAGTGGAGCAGCAGCAGGCCCATAGAGGAGGTATGTGGTCCACGTCGTCAGAATTATTAGGTCTGCTATGCTGCAGTGACTGTGTCTGGGGTGCAAATCCTCTCCTGGAGCACGGAGACTTTGTTTCCATGCCCCTTGGCTACACGTCTGGTCCCTACCTGGTGTTTCTCCCATCCTCCCCGTGATCTATACACACCCTACAAGTGCAGCTGCATCCGTTCACCGTGCATGAGGGCAGTGTGATGATAATGTGAGGCCACTTAGATAGCAGACTGGTGCTCATTGTGGAAGAGGAGAGGAGGGCGGACTGAGAGTTAAGAGGACGCTTTTCTAGGTCGGTAATGAACGCTGTGAAGCCGATCATGCCGGATGGAGACCGGTTTCTTTGTGTCAAGTCGCACAAGTGGAAGTGTCATCATTTCACTGTGTTCACAGCTAATCAGCAAAATTGCCATATTTATTGGAATAATCATTGTGGCTGGCGCCAATTTAAAAGCACGTTTGGTTTTTACGAGGGATTTATTACATTTATTTTATGGACGAACAAGAAAAATATCAAATAAAGAGCATTTGAGCAATGTAGCCACGAAAGAAGCCTTGCGTTATAAGTTTGTAATTACCTTTATTTTATATTAAAGGTTTAGTGTATCCTTATTTATCGTGCAGTGATTTCATGCAACTCAAGCTCCTATGTTTAATAATAACTAACCGCCGACAACTTCCGTACTGGTAACTGAGCTATAGGCCTCCTGATATAGTAATGACTTTATTATGCCTGTAGCTGTCCCCTCAGGCTTTAGGAGGGTAAAAAAGCACCTGTGAGTATCAATAGATGTACATGTAATAATGGGATATCCATCACATTATCAGCTATCAGATGTGGATGTGTAAGGAGTCCATGCCTTGCAGTAAAGTTGCCGCACCCTCATACGCACGCATCCTGCATGCACACATGTACGCAAGCACGCAAGGATGGAAACACACTCACACACCACATCACACCATTAATACAGTGGTGTGGAGGGAAGGGAGGGTGTAGGCCTTAGAGACTGCTTCTTTGTCACAGATGAGCCGTTAATTACTGACAGTAATTATATCTGTGCTACCCAACAGCTGATTTAAAGAAAATATTGTGTGTGTTTATTTATGACTTTTATGAGTTAAAACGTGTTTAGGACAGAGCAGATAAGAGTAGAGGGGCCTTTAGGACCAAGAGGCCTCGGACAGCCTTACTCAATAAAATTGTCTTTGGAGTAATAATTTGTTACTTACTATAAAGTAATTAAATTTTACATGAGAAATGCCTAAAACCTTTGGAAGTTTTCATACTGCCTGGAATAAAACTGTGGATCCAAAAATAACCTGATTTAAACATGTAAAACTGGAGTTAGCTGTTAAAATATGAGGGCTTGCTACACCATCCAATTCACATGTGTGTGTATTTTTATCACAGCATTCACACCTGTGAGCAGTTAAAATCTAGAGGTGACTATTTCAGATGATAACATGATTTTAGATAATGTAAGTGGAAAATGTGTACGTACCAACCATCAGTTTAGGAAATGGAGTAGAGGCAATCGAAACCATTCTCAGTTTAAGCTAAACATATTTTTACATGTTTAGCGTAGATTCTTGTAATACAGTGAGTGTAAGCAGTGTTATGCTCCTTCGGTCCTTTCAAAAATAATAGTCCCATTGACCCTTGCTTGCCCTATTGTGACCCTTAACTGGACGCAGCTTCTTTCTATTTATTATGACGCACACTAAGCTGTCAGGTCTCAGGCAGTGACTGACACAGCCTACTCAGCCTTGTAGCTGATGTCAGTCACAGTGTGACAGACTGGTCCCAGAGCAGCATTACTGATCCTTCTCTCTCCTTTGTCATCTTATTCTACTGTAAAAATGAGGTACTGTAAACAGATTATTTTCATAGAAATACTGCAGATTCCTTTGTCAGGTGGTTATAACTTTTCTTCTGTTTTGATGTACACTGTGGTTGCTTTGAATCAGATTGCCACCCTTTAGTATCTACAAAAAGCAAAAAGTATTCAGCTGTATGTTTCCCTCTTCCTCGCAGATCAATAGCCATGTCTTCCAGCTCAGCGATGGTGCGGATCCTGATAAAGGGTGGCAAAGTGGTGAATGATGACTGTACCCAGGAGGCTGACGTTTACATCGAGAACGGCATCGTCCAGCAGGTGGGGAAAGAGCTGATGATCCCAGGTGGGGCTAAAGTGATTGATGCCTCAGGGAAACTGGTGCTTCCTGGGGGCATCGACACTAGTGTCCACCTGGAGGAGAGCTTCATGAATGCCACCACAGTAGATGACTTCTACAGCGGTACCAAGGTAACAGTCTTTTCATATTGTCCCAAATTTAGAGAAGCAAAAGAGCAATCTTCATGTTTTATCACCTTTGTCACAACAGGAAAGATTAAGATTCAGAGACCATTGAATTATTGAAAAAAGGCTTTTTACTGATGTTAATTTTAGTCACACTGTCAGTAATGCATCATTATTCTGTTTTGATGCTTCTTAATATTTGGAGATCAAACATTTAGGTTATTTTAGGCAGGAATACTTTTGCTGTCAAAGTTAGAACTAAGAAGTCAGACCTCAGACACAAATTTATAGGTCACTCCTCCTTCCCTAAAGAGAGCCAGAAGTAATATATCTATTACTTTGCAAATAAGCAGAGCACAGAAATTACGTCAAAAACTGGCACATAAAATAGTAACGAAGCATTTAATTTTAAGATCTAGCTGCAAGCAGAAAAAGCAGACAAACCAGCGGTACTAACATTAACAATAGCTTCTACTAAGGATATAAGAAGCATTTATAAAAATAAATGTCACTGGGTTGCATCCAGAGTTTATTTCTCCAAAATTAGACAAAGGTGTTTTGGCAATTTTGCTCTTGGCAAGGGTGAATGTTGGAGGCTGATACAACCGGGATACCCCACTCTGCTTCAGGGCA